CAAATGCCTCATAAATGGTTCAGCATGAGCTTCCAAGAAAGGCAAGCCTTTCATTTTCACAATCTGGTCATACACACCCTTGTTAAAACTATCGGCCACAGTTTTTGATATGAGGAGAACAAGCATCACCAACGGAAGCATTAATAGATTGTTTGTAAGCTCAAGGAGTATGACACAAATTGATACTGTCATTCTCATGGTACCACCAAGGAAAGAAGCAGCACCAAGTAGCGAAAACAGACCAACATTAAGATTGGACAACGAACCCAAGGCTCTACCGAAAATACGCCCATAGGAGGCTCCAGCAAGTATGACAGGAATGAAAAGTCCAGAAGGAATAGCAATTCCATAAGTAATAATGCCAAGGCAATATACCCCAGCAAAGAAGACGAGAAGTGAAGAGATGTGAAATTCATTTGAATTATTTGAACTAAACAAATTGCGAATGGCATCATCATTGGTGTTCAGAAAGAGGGATGCGAGATCATTGTAATGCCCTGGTGGACACTGGAAATTCTTGTAGCTTCCAGAGCGACCTATAGTTGGGCATTTTTCCTCCAAGCCGGCAGGACAAGGGGTGCACCTTGCCAGCCATGGTAGGCCATAAGAGCAACAAGAAGTCAGGATGGAAACGGTCATGACAAGCAAGATCTTGAAAGCAGGACCTCTCCTGTAATTCACTACCAAAAATTAACCAAAGGAAAAGCAGAAGTAGAAGGAAAACCAGGCAGAAAGAATATCATAATTATCATTTTTGATTCCAAGATTCAGCCAAAGAAAAAAGCAGGAGTACAACCACAATTTACGCACCAAGAAAATTCTACTTATGGAAATAACAGCTCATGTAACTTACTGTAGAGATGGCATCACAAAATAGATAAATAAATAAATAACCAACGAATACATATAGTATATCTTTTACAAGTACCAAATAGCTTGGAAACAAAGAACATTGATCAAACATGTTTTGATGGCAAAGAGTAAATGACCCATTTAAGATGAACTTTTCAAACTATGTATGCATGCTTAGGTGAAATATCCTGATGAAATACACTGTTATCCACAAAATCATTATGGATCGGTTACAGTTATCTACCTGAAAATCCAATCTGCAAAAGAAAGAAAAGAAAAATATAAAGTTGAAATCAAAAGAGAAGTGAGACATGCTTCAAGAAAACCTTGCATACTTCTTAAAATTGTTACTTCATCATACTAGAACACCTACCCCTCCATTGACTAACAACTGAGAGAGAACTAAACATATTGTGTTGGCAAAAGGGGTTTAGACTGAACATGCACCTACCCCTCCATTGACTAACAACTAAGAGAGAACTAAACATATAGTGTTGGCAAAAGGGGTTTAGAAGACTAACTCATTAATGACGCTGTAAGTCCGAAGGACCTTGTCGACAAGATAATTATAAAGGCTTCCCAAAAGGCCTCCAAGTACTCCAATTAAAATTATTGCCAATACATCTATTGTGTTGTAATTAGATACTCCTGAATTGACATCAAACATTATCAAACCTCCTTGCCCAAATAGTCCACATTTCCCACTGCGACAGAATTGTATGAGAGATCTGAGCACCATAGCAACGACAGCAGTTGTGAAGAAAGTCCTCCAAAGTAAAGCACTTCGCCACCTAAAACATTAAATAGAACGATTGAACATTTTGAAATACAAGCCTTCTTATGAATGCAAGCTAGCATTCAATATGTGTGTGTAGCTTACATCGGGTGAGGGAGAGAGAGAGAGAGAGAGAGAGAGAGAGAGAGACCATGATGCTATTTCTTCAAGAGCAAAAAGGACTCCTCCAACTGGGGCACGGAAAGCAGCTGCGACACCAGCAGCAGCACCACAAGTGATCAAATCCCTACGATCACGGTCGTTTTTGAAGTATTTTAGCCAGTTCCAAGTTAAATGATACTTGCGGGAACCCCCTTGTCCAAGTAAGTTTGCTATGCAAGCACCAGTATGGACCATAGGTCCTTCCTTGCCAACAACAAATCCAGCAGCAACACCCAAAATGGAACCAAAAATCTGCCGAGTGTAAAATGTCAGAGTTAGTGTTTTCGAGAATGACTTTCAGCGAATGAGCCAATCAGCACTATAATAAAGCATGGGGTGGGGTAAATTACAACCCATTGAACTAGAAGAAACAGACAAATGCACTAAAACAATCATTTAATGTGAATTAGGGTGCTAACTGCTTCAGCTTGTAACTTATCATTTATAGTGGTAAATGATGTCTGTAGGGGAACGCCAGATTGTTAATATACAGCAAAACAAAAAAAGATAAAGATACACCTCCAGAGTTCAATTTAACAATGGCAGTCTGAGAAACCAAACCTAAGAACTAACAAGTGAAAGGGTAACAAGCAGGGACAACCATATCAAATGTACCTAATCAAATGAATTTAAAACACGGCATACAATGCAAATCATTCATTTTTTACTACATAATTATTTTTGATAACCGAGAAATCTATGAGGCTGTAGGCATGGTTCGAAGCTCGATGGAAAATGCCCCCTATCCTTCTCCATTTAAATACCAAGGTTTGCCTGCGCTAGAGTTTGAACCTGTGATGTGCGCCTAACCACACATCACAAGATGAACTCTTACCGCTAGACCAAAGCTTCGGGGTCTTTACTACACAATTTCATTTCTAATTTACTTCATTGATGTCCATAGTAAGGTACAAAAGGATGAAGTGGACTACAGTGCACAAATATAAGCATGGTTATCTGAGTGTTAACACGTATTATCCTTACATCAAATATTGTTATTTGAAATCTTTATTATTGTTGTTGTTTAGTTCAATTCAATATCAAGTCAATAGCACTAGTAAGTCGTAACAACATGAAAAGTTGTTCTTTGGGACAGAAGGAATATACCAGGATAAGCAATTTGAAAATGCCAATCAACTTACATAGAACAGTTGGAAAAATAGTATCAAGTGATACTTTTTACAAGCCAGATAATCATGCTTCTTAGAGATGTCCATGTGGCAAGCAACAAGGAATACACAAGAGGGAAAAAGACAGAGAAATCCACCTTGACAAGTAATGTACTTGGAGCCAAAATGGAATGCGCATCAATACCATTTAGATATGCTTTTACTTCAGGTATCCCAGACCCTGCAGCCGCAGGTGCAATAAGTGCACAGAGGGCCGCAGCACAAGTTGCAAGAACCACATTGCAACCCGCAAAAGCAGCAAATGCCCGGAAATATCTGCTCTGAAATTAAAATAACTTAATAACTTGAACAGAGTGAGTCGCGCGCTTTTGTCATTTGTGCATTCATAGATGGTATTTTGAAATCACAACTTATTTCATAAACTATAACTTGATTGAAGTTGTACTTACTTTCCCTCAAGCATTAAGTTGCTAGTTAGCAGTAGCTTGAAACCAGCAATATTTTCCACTCCTATGTTATTAAAGAAACCAACAAGGCCAGTACTTAATCCAATGAGAAGCACAAGAGTCCACTTGAGAAATATATATTGAAATATCTGGACCTTTTTCCTAGATCTCCAGTCTTGCTTGAAAAGGTCATTTTCTACAATCCTGCATAAAAATGACTTACAATATCAAAATGGAACATTGGATATATACTTCAAGTGAATATAGGACAGATAAAAGTTACCAGAAAAAACATGTATTTCGGTTAACTGCAAGTTACTACAAAATGAAAAAATAAATCTTGGGTTATTATTAAATTGATAGAGAGATTTCATTTGCATTGAAAAGGTATTAGGACGCTGGTCAGGAGCTCCAGCGTATAAAACTCGTGAAGCAAGCGCATTTAGGAATTCGTCGATAGAAAAAACAAATTGTACTCCAGGACCAAAACATAGGATTTGAGAGTCCAACCTCAGAAAGAAAACTTCTTACACAGGATGAGAGTGTGTTCTGATCAGCATAAGTCATTAAGATTTCAACCCCAACTTAAGTTTGTAATTACCAGTTATATATACATAGACTACAAAATTTGAACATCAAAGATCTCTGATTTCTTTCACCATAGCTCTCCTTCATATCTCTTACTATGGCAGTTCATTAGTTTTTCCTTTTAATTCCTGCAGCTCCAATAATAACACAGCAAAAGAATCTTTTTCCATCATCACACTAATTGCACAAGAAAAATCTCAAGCCTGGTTATCTGAAGATGTTAGCAGAAAGTTGACTAACGGCTACCATCCTAAAAATAGTCAAACGATAACGAATCCCAAATATTTTAAAATTGAGGAACAGTTAATTGATTGATTCTGCTACTATCAACAACGAGATGCAATAAATTAAAGAATTAAAGGAGCAAAAGAGCACAGAAACAGAAAGTAAGTATTCATACTCGTAGTCGAGGCTTTCAATGGGGTAAACATTGGCTCCAACAATAGCGATTTGGGAGGTGTTGTTGACTCTGCTCTTGGATTTAAGCAAAGGCTCTCTTATCCCACTTTCTGAAATGGTCGAGAAATTTCTCTCCAAATCTATTTTCTCTTCCTCCACCATCCCTCCTTCATTCTCTATGTCAACTTGGTTCTCCATCACAAGAAATACGTTTGAGATCGTATATACAACCAAGTATAACTCAATCTCAAACTAATTTAAGAGTTGGAATCTAACGGAGTATATGAATAGTCTTTTCTTATCTAAAAGTTACTGTACGTATGAATACGTGTATGTATACAAACCCACATCTAGGAAAATGGAAATGATCAGTGAATCTTCTCAATCTGCTTCAATTATATATGGGGTGGGTTGTCGCCGGTGGGGGAGGTGAAAGAGAGAGAAGCGGGAGATCCGTGACAGATTATTATTTTATGTAACAATCTGTCAGGTTTGGACAGGCCCAAACAGTTGTGGAAAAGATTAAACAAATGTGTATGGGTTCTGACTTTTGAGTGGCGTTTGATATTTTTATTACATCAGGAGTTCTTTTCGGCGGCTACATCGAATTTCCATATTAAAAACCTACGAATTTTAACTCGAGTGCGATCAATATCTCGAAAAAAATTACTACTACTAAAATTGTTTTTACAAACTGCTCTTAATTCTTTTGGCTGATACATCTTTCAATATTTTCAAACGACCCATTTGATATTTTTTGTGTGTTCTTTTGTCAATGGCAAGTGCAACGTTGGTTATTGATTAATCTGAATTTACGTCGTATAAAATTAATTTAAAAAAGAGAAAATACTTCTTGTAACGATCGATCAATCGTTTTGAGCTTTAGCATTCTGTTCGGTGGTTTAAGGTCTTGAGTAGCTTCATATGATACATTATGTCTTGCGTATATGGTTGGTTTTGATTTTCGAGGGGTTTAGAGTTGATTTGGAAGAGTGATTCTTAATTTGAAAGTTTTAAGTTGGAAGAGTTGATCAGGCTTTAACTTTTGAGTAGACGGCCTCGATTGGGGCAAGTTTTCCTTCTTCTATTTCGGATTGGAAAAGCTGGTTTCTTCTGCTCTGGTCTCGGTCTGGCGAAGTGAACCTCGCTTCGCTGTCCGGGACTTTTTTGGTTTCTTCTGCTCCAGTCCCGGTCTGGCAAAGTGAACCTCGCTTCGCTGTCCGGGACTTTTCTCTTCAGCTGTTTTTTCACCAAATTTTCTCCTATTTGATTCTTTTCCGCATAAGTTTGTTCCTACACATAAGAAACACGTAATGAACATATTTTCACTTCAAAAGCGGTATGAACTGCCGCAACTCACACAAGAATTAACACACAAACACACTTAAAATATGCACTTTTCATCCTTTATCACCACCCCACACTTAAACTCTTGCTCATCCTCGAGCAACTTAAAATTAAGCACATAAGCTAGATTATATCAACGCTTAGAATCCAACATATGCAGTCTTCATATATTTCCTCAAGTTTTAAACTCATTCCAAGATTATTTAAAATATTTATGTGGCTCTTTCTAATATCCTCTCCTCAAAACTTGACTCCAATGCATTCCACACCATGACTCGCTCCTTGTACCAACTCAAAAATCAAGGTCTCTACCAATACTTTGCAAATCATGTGCCCTCACCAACAAACTACAGAGAAAGTAGTCCATGCACTCAATATAAGTTCAAGTATATTTTAAGGACTCTCAAATCGAAAGAATTTGTTCACTCTCACAAAGAAACTCTTATGCCATCAAAACTCGTACCATAGGCTTGCCCATAATATAAGTCTCCACCAATTTAGGCTCGCATATTCTAAGATCAAGTAGGACTTTATAGGTTGTAATGTAGGCTAAAGGACGGGTAGGATATATTTGAGAAAATAGTGACTAACTCTCCTAAGCACTTTAATACACTACACTTCACTTCCAAACACCTTCTTGTCATGAACAATTCAATGTCTTGCCATGAAACCATAAACATTTAGGCCCTTCTTCATTACGCACATCAACATATAGATACTCACTAGCCCAGATAAAGATATGAGAGGTGTTATTCTTTCTTTTTTTCACTCTCCTTAATTTGGTATTTCTGGCTAGTACTTTTTTTGTTTGTTTATACACAAGTGTACCTTGTCGGCCTATCTATGGTTTCGCTCAAAAGCTACCCAATCTCTTTCTTTACTCTTCTAGCTACTTAAGTACTTTTGGAGGTAAAAGTTCAACTAGATTTGATTAAGAACAAAGGGGATTCGGCTTGTAATGTGGTTGCCAAAGAAAAGGTCTATAGGCTCAAAAGGGGGACTACAGATAGTATTAGCACTGGTAGGCAAATAGGCTAAATGGTCAATCAAAGAAAGCCTATATAACTTCCCAAACTTACAACTTAATCATTTCGCTTTGACTCACACGTGGGGCAAGCTCTAGATTAGCAAGCATGGCACAGAGTACACCAAAATCTCACCTCACACAATGCACATGACTCACTTAGAACGGCTCGGACCCAACTCTAAAGTTAAAGCAACTAGCACAGTCATCATAATATTTAAGCACACGGGAATTAATCGCAAGAGTCAAAGATGAGCCTCGGTGTCAAAAGAAAGCCACATACATTTTCAAGGCATGTAATTACAATGATCATGAAGAAAATACTTAGTTCAAATGATCTAGACCTAAGCCCCGATATAAAACATGTCAAAAAGCATAGATACTCAAGTTCTCCCCATTCCATTATCAGTTCAAAAGAAAAAAAAGATTTTTTTTTGTATTTTCTCTGGACTTTAATCCCTCAAGAAAACTATCTAGGATGTCCATCGTCGGAAAAAGTCCAAAACTTATGAAAATTCTACTTAAAAAAAACTACTAACCGATTCAAGAGTCATCCCTTGGAAAAGAACCGTGACCATAAGAAAAACCAAGAGGGATTATTTCTACCTATTTTTGTTTTTTTGATTTTTTTTCAACACGCATAAAGTAACACAACTAACATAGCATAGGAACACCCAAACAATCTCTTCACCCCACACTTAAAATTATCCATTATCCCCAATTCACACCCATAAATACAAGAGGGTAAAAGAAACTCCTTGGTATGCCAAAGGCCGAAGCATCAGCAACTCATGGAGTACTCACACTTCTCCCATACTTGGTTATTTGTGCGAGCACCCCACACTTAGTTCTAACCATCTCACTTGCTTTTGCTTTCTTCTAATAGCCTTGCTTCCCATGCTCGTAGAGAAATAAAAAATAACACTACAAGAATAATACAATAATAAAAAATAAAATAAAAATAAAAGAAAACAGTAAACCTGGGTTGCCTCCCAACAAGCGCTTGATTTAACGTCGCGGCACGACGTGAATCACTTTTTGCCTCCACCTCGAGCTTATGAATTGAACCCCAAGCTTTGCTTCAAGCTTATAATTATTCTCTTGGGGCAGTACAAATTCTTGCAAGCCAATAAATAAATAAATTTTCATGCACTTTTTGGCTCTCGACTGAAGAGTGTCACCTTGCCTAGACGACCTTGAAAATTTCAAAATATAAGACTCATCTATCTCTTCCCTTGACTTCTTTTTATGCTCACATACTATAGAGAAGTGTTTGGAATGAGGTCCAACGCACTCAAATACATGAACTTCAAGATTTTTGACCTCCTTAACACCAATCACACTAGAGTCAACTAAATTTGTATCTTCAATGTCCTTGGCTTACTCTAGTATTACTTCTTCAACATCAGCATCCTCAAATTCTAATTGGATATATTGTTGGTGTTCTACTCTGACCTTCTCTATTAGCACCTCAATTTCGGTATCTAATTCATGCTCTTCTTGGCTATTATCTACAATATTGGCTTGTTGAGCATTAAAACCTTCAACCAGTTGACCCACTTGAGCCTCCAAATTACGAATAGTTGCTTCTTGCCTTTCTATCTGCAGTTGTTTCGCATCATTTTGTTCCACACGACACTTTAACATATCTTTTATCTCCTCCAGGTCAGCTTCTCCTAGTTCTTTATTCCTATTAACTTCACAAGAAAAAGTAGAACCATCATAATAAGGGGTTGAGAGAGGATAAGACGTATAAGCACAATCATAAAAGTGACTATCTTGATCACCACAAACATCACATACATTCCACACATAAGACTGAGTTGGCGCACATAACTCGCTCTCGGAAATATTTTGATAATTTTACCACAGGTGGTTTCCTCCACAATAAGTACAAGGAAGATCAACAGTAGAATTACCAACATCGAAACTCCTATAATTCCAAGATTCCATGTTTCTCAAATCAACAAATAAACTAAAAAAAATAAAAATAAATCAAATACTAAAAAATAAAATAAAAGTTCAAACTTGAAACCTAGCAATATGTACAGCTACAACTACACCGTTAGTTCCCCTGCCATGGCGCCAAAATTTGATCACGCCCAACTCTAGTCCTAAAAAGGATAAGCGGTCGTTGAAAATATAATCCGGTCTAAGTGTCCGGAGTCGAATCCCACGGAGAACAAAGGCTTAGCTACAGTTGTTTAATATCACTAAGTAGACAAGATTGAATAATTTCTAAGTTATAAATATTAAGATTCTTATGTCTAACTAATTAACTAACAAATTAAAGTAGTAGATTAATAACTAAAGATACTAAGGGATGGAGACAAGATTAAGGAGGTCTAGAGTTATGATTTTCCCAATTGTCGGAATCCTTACCGCTATGTCTTCTATAATTTTGCCTAATTATTATCTACCGATTGTGAGTACTTCGAGTGTCGTAGTTCTCTCTCGAGAAACTATTACAATTTACTAGACATATTCTCTCGAACTACGCTAGCTGGTACTAATTCACCGCTCACTACGATCGGACCAAGGTTTCGTTATATCTAATCCAGCATTTAAACCATCCGTATTGATCTCTCACATACGTTAGGAGTGATGTTGTTCAACAATTACCTAAATGTGTACCCTCTCTGAAGCAATGCACACTAAATAAGCACAGTCAATTGATGGTCATTCAATCAACAGCAAAACATACGTAGTTGAACAAGTAGATAAATTCAACGGCTCAATTATATAAAAACAGAACAAGAATTTATCCTACAAAAGGTTCCATCAAAATCCTAGATAACAAATTAGCTATTCATAATAGTATGCAACACTATAATACTAGAATTCATAACCACTAATAGAAATAGGAAGAAGAAAGTGAAAAACTCGTAGAAGAATTCTCCGCCTTGCTCCTAGCGTATTCTTGCCTCCTTAGGTCGAATCTCCCTCCAAAGTAGTGTCTCCCCCTGAAAAGAACGTTTTAGGATGTATTTATAGCGATTAGGGCTTGTATGGGGTAAATTTTCCTTCTTCTATTTCAGATTAGAAAAGCTGGTTTCTTCTGCTCCGGTCTCGGTCTAGCAAAGTGAACCTCGCTTTGCTATCCGAGACTTTTTTGGTTTCTTTTGCTCTGGTCCCAATCTGGCAAAGTGAACCTCG